CCATGAAAACTCACCTGCCTCGGCCTGGGCAACCTGACAGTATTCAACCCACATGCTAATCGTGGAGCCATTTTTCTTTTCATAAAGATTATTGTATCGCGATTTGTTTGGCACAGCCTGAACTCAGATGTGTGTGAAATATATATGTATCTGTGTATTTTGCTTCTCTGTCGATGTTTCCCGATGTTTTGAAGTTTTCTTATGTAATGCATGTGCCTATTTATTACTCATTTCACGAAACCCGGGAAGCCTCTTTCTTCATGTTGATTTAACCAAGCCTGTTTTCGCGCTGCTCATAAAAAGAAAACAACGCACCACCGCTGGCGTCCTTCGACTTCCCACAGTTCCCGCCGACGGTTCTTGTTAGCATTCAACAACTGCGTAACCGTCTGACAGAAGGCCAAGTACTTCTCTGTTAAGAGCAAAGAAAATAGAAAACAGTCGATATGGAAACTCGACGTTATGGTCCCTTGCTACGACAGTCTCACGTCACTTCTGTTCCACCAATTGTTAAACCATCTGGGGAATTAGGATGTACAGTCCGATTGAAAAAGCTGAAGTGTTTGCTTCCAGTTCTACCCTACTCGGATCACCCATCCAAGCGAACCATCCTTCCATGCCACTTATTTCCATCAAAAAGATATGCTAGAACCTCTTACCACTGAACTAACACAAAGCCCCTGGACCCGAGGGGATTCCTCCCAGTCCTCAAAATGTGAGCCCCTCTCTTACGCAGCGTATTCTCTCTCTCTTTCTCGATTACGAGGTATTTCTAATCAGATAGAAAATATCAGAAATACTTCCCATCCCTAAATGCGGCAACCATTCAGACCCAAACAATTACCGTCCTATTTCTCCCACATCAGTTATTTGGAAGGTTATGGAATTATTTTTGTTGATCAACTCCACCGACACCTGGAGCAGAACAAAATGCTTAGCGACCGTCAGTATGGTTTCCGATCCAATCGATTTACCGGTGATCTTCTGGCGCTCATTTCGCATGCAAAGTCAGCGGAACTCGACAACCACGGAGAAACCCATACGGTCTTAGTGGATGCATCAAAAGATTTCAATCGTGTCTGCTGGCTAAACTATCCAAGTTTGGCTTTCCTTCCGAACGTGTGTCCTGGACAGCAAGCTATCTCAAGGACTACAGCATCTCCGTTCGAGTAAATTGGACCATGTCTTATTCCGTGCCTGTGAATGCTGGTGTTCCACAAGGTTATGTACATTCACCCTTCTCTTTTCCTGATCTTCCTTCAACTCTAAATCCTACTCACGCTTCCGCTCTATACACTCTTCTATATTTTATTTCTCTTCAAGCACCACCAGCATTAGTGATGCATGCTCGTTCCTTAGTTTCTACCTAGATTCTTATCTGGGTCTTGTTTCTTCTTGGGACTGTCGCAATCGTGTTCTGTTTAATGCGAATAAACCTTTCCGTATGTCAATTTCTCTTAAACACGCATCTTTCTCCCCTTCATTAATGTTTAACTCGAGCATTCTCCTTTCTGCAGATTCATGCAACCTATTGGGACTTTCCTTATCTTCTCCCTTTTTATGGTCACCATATATTTATCTACTTGTCTCCCGCTCTGTACGCCAGACATTTCTTCAGCCCCTATCACCTCCTCTCGCTTTACAAAGCTCAGATTCTCACTACACTTGAGTACTGCAGTCATGTATGGGGTGGAGCTTCATCCACCTATTTTTATCTTCTTGATCGGGCTCAACGTAAGGTCATTCGTCTTTGATAAAAATGACTTTCCCTTTTGTTTTCCCTATTTACTAATTAGTTTTATAAGAATTAATTTTTGCACCGGAAAAGCCTCAGACCACACCATCGGCTATCGTCGGTCCTGATTGATCCATTCCTTCACAACTTTGTACTTTCAAGCTAATCCTCTAGGTCGTTGCTGGTCGGTCCCCAAACTGTATATAAACAGATGAGTTGTCCATAGCCATCGCCTTTTGAGCCGAGCCAAATGCACAACCTCGCCGGAAGGCCTGTATCCCGTCTTCTCTCTGGTCGGGTTCGGGGATCGTACTACTCTCGCTGGATGTTTCTTCTGGTTCTCTTGCGAATTGCGCTGAGTACCGCAGTTGGGCTTATTCGTGTTGTGTTCACTCGATCACTGGGTCGTTACGGTTCCTGTTCGTGATCAGTCCTACCGCTCTTGCCGTTTGGATCACGGTTCAGACTAGTCCGATCGCATCGTCTATCCCAACGGTTAGAACAGTCTCATCAACGTCCTTAACATGTGATTTGCGGTCACTCCCTCCCCGTCGGGCAATCGCTTCTTTGTCCTTATTTTATCCA